CGCTTTTTCTCAATCTCGCTCGCTCTCTCTCTCTCTCTCTCTCTCTCTCTCTCTCTCTATCTATCTCGTTTCCTCTCTCTCTCTCTCGCTCTCTCTCTCACTCTCTCTCTCTCTCTCTCTCTGGCTCTCTCTCTCTCATAAGCAAACGTATAACAGCACATACAGCACACATAACCACATACAGGTACGTACAGGTACATACAGGTAGCATACCACATACAGGTACATACAGGTACATACAGGTACCATACCACATACAAGTACTTACAGGTACATACAGGTACGCATCACCACATACAGGTACATACAGGTACGCATCACCACATACAGGTACTTACAGCACATCGTCTCCCACCACCTCCACGCCTGCGGGGAGAGGGTGCAGCAGCATCACTTTGTCCCAGAGCAATCGCAGCCAGGGGTCGACGACGCCGTCCGCGCTGCAACACGGTCGCCGCGGCGACGCGATTAACGCTTAGGATGGAGGAGGAGGAGAGGGAATCGTCGCGCAGTTTTCACATTCTAATAAAGTTTGTTTCAGTTAGATCCAAATTAAGTTAAAAATAACTTACACTGACGAAATTTTCGTCCATCTCTCCGATAGACTTCCTCAGGTCTGATGTTTCCAGGAAGATGGCAGCACTGAAAACGGAAGTTCGGATGGTGGATACGGATTTTTAACTTAATTTGGATCTAACTGAGATCGACTTTATTAGCCTGTGAACTATAGAGATCCGATGAAATTATTCAATCATCGTTTCGCATTCGTTTCGCCGTTGCGCCAAATTCTGATCATGCGGGGTTACCGCGGCGACCACGCAATGACCCTGTGAAGCGTGGTGTAGCAACGCCGTGATGAACAGAGATGCCATATATGCGGGCCATATCACGCCATCGCTGTCCATGACACGAAGCAGGTCATAATAGCATTGTATACCATGACATCGTGACAAACAGAGATGCTATACATGGTGGGCCATATCACGCCATCGCTGTCCGTGACATGTTGCAGGCTGTGATAGCACGCCATGCCATGACCAGTAACATCACACCGCGAGAGCATGACGGAGGATAGCACATATCATGCCATCGCTGTCCGTGACACGTCGCATGCCGTAATCACACGGCATACCATGACCAGTGACGTCACACCGCGAGAACATGAGACGGATAGAGAGAGAGAGAGAGAGAGAGCGAGAAAGAGGACATTGAGCCGTGGGTAACGATAACGAGGAGCGAAAAATGATTGCTTTTTTGCATTTCCGTTTGCTTATAGTAATTACTTCCCGCGCAGCAGCTGTACGATTTTCTCGCGAGCGTTCGATTACGATTTACACCTGTATTATTTACCTGCGTCCTTCCGATTTATACCTGTGTTAATTACCTGCGTCGTTCTGCTCCAGGTAGAATCGTCGATTCGGCTCCAGGCCCAAACAGTCGATAAACTCGTCTACCGCGCTCGCTATGTTCCTTGGCTGCACGTAGGCAATGTCGCCTGGCTGGAAACTAGATTTCACGTCAAATAGACAACGTATTAATTATATTTTATATTGAATACTAATTTTTATACATTATTTCTTTCGTGTAGTTACAGTATATATTATTGTAGTTAACACGTTTTTATATGCTAGGAACGCCCCCTCCCACCTCCCCCCCCAACCTTGCCCCCTCCTACCTCCCCGCAATCTTGCACTCCTCCCACCTCCCCCGCAACCTTACCACCCCACTTCCCCCACAATCTTGCCACCCACACCTCTCCCGCAACCTTACCGCCCTACCACCCGCGCAATTTGCACCATACTGCACGCACGCGGGTGAAGGATATCTAACGAGACACATCCGCCAGCACAATAACAAGTTACGCTCATCTTCTATATGTATTTGTTCCTAATGCGTGTAGCATAACGAGCAGGTGCTGCGGTCCACTAATTATGATTAGTCCGCTACTAATTACTCCCAATCATAATCAGGGTTAATCCGGTAGCTTTCGTTATCATCAAGTCGAGTGATGTCGTGTACGGTTCGAGCAATGCTATGACTTGATCAATGATACTATACATTGATATTGATATATAATATTGATACTATATATTGATACTATATATTGATATATGTATATATATATATATATATATATATATATATTTCTGACTATTCA